TGCGTGTTTGGGTTGCCGAAAGGCGACCTTTTCTTACTGTTCTTGTTGTCTTTCTCAGTAAATAACCCCTGCTGTTTTGTCGTCGTCCTCCCTATTCTCATCACGCGGTGACAACTCTTTTCTCAATTCCGCTAATTCTTCGTCTGATTCCACCTTCCGCGAAGATATGCCGTTTTTGTCCAAGACAATCAACAATCTATCATTCTTCCCCTTCCGCGCTTCTTCCGCAAATTCGGCTAATCTAAGCAGTTTTGCATCTTCCCGGATTGCGGTAATTGCTGCGGCCGCGTTCCGGGGATCGGCCTGCCCGATCGGGGCTCCTAAATATTCATCACGGGCGCGCAGCGCAATTGCCTCTAAGCTGTTGTGATATTTTCCCAAAATCTCCCAATACTCTGCGGCCTTATATTCTGCTATTTGCTTGGTAGCCGTCCGTATGGTCTTGTTTACCGTCCTGAGGTTCCGGCCAGTCTCCTCGGCAATTTCCCGCTGCGTGCGGCCCTCTACTGCCATTTCAATCATTCCGGCCGCTTCTTCGGTGGTTACGTGCCCTATGTTACCCATCTCCATTTGTTGTATTTTTGTTGCCTTTTGATGGTTATTTTTCTTTTCCGCGCCCGGGTATTCGTGCGTCCTGCAATATTGCGTATAATATGAATTATGCGCAATATTGAACAACCCGCCCGTTCTGCGCCCCGTTTCCGCAAAAGAACCACGCTTCTGGGATTGCGTATTTTGCGCAATTGCGGATATGGTGCATGGTGTGTATGTCTTGTTACGATTGCCAGCGCCCGTATGCCGATGGTGTGAACATCACGGCCGGCGGGGGTGCCAACTTTCCAAAATGAACCCCGCCGGCCCGCCGGTTTGCAAAAGTTTGCCAACCCACCGCAAAAGGCGGGTTAATGGGTTCTCTTAGAATCAGCCTGCATAATCAACATGTTTTATTTACCCCCCCCTGCGGCGGCTTGTGGACTGAACCCATCACAGCCGGATTTGCCGGCTGATTCGAAAATTACCCGCTCTGGTTGGTTGGTTTTTTCCCTAAAGTAAAACATTCGCAGGCCCCCCGCCGTTCCTCCTCGCAGATATCACGGGCGAAAAGGGGGCTGGTTTCGCAAAATACGGCAAAATCTTAACTTTCCTAACTTTCCTTAACTTTCCCAAAATTCGGGAAAGTTAAACGGCGGCAAATACGGGCTTTAAATGGAAAAATAAGGATTTATTATTATTTTTTTTAACTTTCTAACTTTCCTACTCCTCATTCTCCCCTCAGTGTGCCCCCCCCTGTGATGTGTGTGGGGTGGGGGGGAGGAGAACAGATCATGGAAAGTTGGAAAGTTAAACTCAAAAACGTATGTAGTGCCTCTGTTTTGGCATCAGAGGCAGTAAGCTCCCCTGTTAACTTTCCCAAGATTTGGGAAAGTTAGGGAAAGTTGGAAACTTCACTTCTCGGGTGCGTTCCCATAAAGATAAATCTTGCATCCTCCGTTCGGAGCTGTGTCGCCGCATTCGATGAGACTATCATTTACCATTTCATCAAACAGGTCTTTCCATTTTTCCCCGAAATGGTATGTTTTCATTGCCTTTTCAACGCTTGATTTCGTCATCCCCACGCCGTGTTTTCCGCAGCCGTGTTCTTTCAAAATCTGGATTACCCGATCTTTGGCATCAGCCCACGTATCCGGCGGGATCGCGTATACGATGCGGGTCAACGATGATTTTAGCGTAAAATCTATGAATTTTTTGGCGGTTTTTACGTGTGCGGCGGTTATTACAGGTGGGTGGTCGGTATATGACATACGGAACACATCTTTGACAGCATCGATTTTTTGAATGTAAATCTCCCGCGCCTTCTGCTGAGCTTCCAACGCCGCATCTGCGGCGGCCTTCGCGTCATTCACGGACTTCTTCGACGACTTCTTTTTTTTGGTCAATTCAGACAGTGCCCCGTTTGCTTCATTCAGGGCTTCATTTGCTTTGTCAAGAGAGTCCTTCGCGTTTTTCATTTCCATCATAGCCATCGGGTGATTAGAACGGTCGACCCGATCGTTTGCCAATGCGATCCGCATTGCATAGATCATTACGTGCTGTAATTTGCGGGTTAACAACTCCTTCGCTTCGGGGTGGGCGCGGCAATACGCTTCGGTGTCTGCATATATCTGCATCAATTCCGCACGCGCGGCTGGTTCCCAGCGCACTGGATCGGGGCGGCGGTGTATCGGTCGCGGAATGATCTCAACCTCCCCGCGTTTCGGTTTTGGGGGATTTCGTGCGTATACCGCGTGCTCTACCGCCTGTGTTTCGCCGGTATCCAGCGGAACGGCGATCCCTTCCAAACTTTGCCATGCCGCCGCCAACGAGGGCGGGATGAGCTGAGCGTATGTATCGTATTCCGGCCGGCCTGCGTGGGTTTTCGCCCATTCTAAAAACGGATTGATCATGATCATATCCTGCTCGTCGTCATCATCGTCATCGTCATCATCAGGGTCGAGGCGTGCTTCCCCCAACTCGGGATCGCGCCCGCGTGTGACGTTGAGGATTACATAACGGGACAAATAACCAGAATGTGCATCATCCGAACCCAATGCCTGAGCATAGGTTTCCGGTGTTGATAACAACACCACACTAAGCGCGTTGCGCCAAATGGGCTTTAAATTGGGATTATCTTTGCCTTCTGCATACAGTTGCGGGTTTGTTGTGGTCGTTCGGGATGCGTATATCTCCATCTGATAGGTTTCTACGGTCTTTTTGCCGTTCGGATCGCCCTTTCCGGTGCCGGTTGTCTGCCGATTTAAGCCCGCTTCATCCGTGATGAATGTCACGCGGGGATTCTTCTGGGCGGCTGTGTGGATTGCGTTTATGCCCGTTGCCAGCGGTGGGGTCGGTATATCAAGATTCGCCTTCTCGAGTAACTCCCGTATCTTCGTCTTCACGGCTTCTTTTCCCGCGCCGGTTGACGCCAAAATAAGCAGATAATCGGTCGTTGTTGTCTGTGGGAGTTTTTTCTCCACCCCGCCGTGTATCGATTTGTATTTTACCTTCTTTGTCTCCCAAATACGCCCGCAAATGATTCCAATCGTTTCAAGTGCCGTAGATAACGCTATTTCCGGTTGGTGCATTGGCGAATTTCGGAGGATATACCGATACATCCCCTCCACTACCTCACCGCATTCACCTGCCAAACGGGACATGTATTGCTCATTGGCGTCCGGTGGCTGTATCTGTATCATTGGCGTGCCCTCCTCTGATTCAACGGCTGGGGGTGGGTCATCAGCTCGGTGTATAGTTGCCATCCGGCGGCTTTTGCCTTTCCAACGGTCAATCTAATCTTAGAATCGTTGTATTCGTGGCTTCCCCCTGCGTATGCTTGTCGATATATGCGGTGGGTTTCCCACAGCCGCAAAATACGGGCGGTGGTTGCAATGTGTTCGTATCTGATTCCTTCTTTGTGCGCTTCAATCGCCGCATGCATTGCGATTTTAGTGGTGATACTTGCAAAAGCTTCTGAGGCTCTGGATGTGGTATACGGTTCATTTGTGCCCGTCATCTTCATCATTTTTGTTACTTCGCCTCGCTCGTGGAATTCCCAAATCTTGATTTTTCGCAGTTCCTGCGGTGTTATCTCGTCGGGTTCTGGATCCGGTGGGGCTGTCTGCGGTTCCTTCCCTGCCGTCGTCCTCGTGGTGGGGAAAGTTGCCCTCCTGTCGCCGCTGTGAATCAGCTGGGTGATGATCTCACCGGCCGGCGATCCCATATCCAGTACCGGCGCGTCTGGGTTTGCGGTTGCCTGCTTTCCGGAAATTGCTATTCCGTTGCCTGTCCCGTAAAATAGTTCATATTCACGGTCGTCGATGAGGGATTTGATTTTGTTGCCCGCTGTGTCCGGAATTAGGTCTTTGGGAACGCGGTATAAGATGTGGGTGCCGGTTCCGGATGCCGATACCTCCCTATACAGGGCCTCCGTGTCAAAATCTTCAGAAGGATGATGTCCGTCACAATCTAAGGCTATGATGCCGTCTATGGACGCATCAAACCGCCGTCCCAAAAGTAGGGATATCTCCACTGTTCGCAGATATTCAAGCTCAGCCCTTGCCTCTGCGGATGTCTTCTCGGCTTCATCCACCGCGTCCCACGCGGCGGATTGAACTGCGGCCGGCATATTCATAACTTCGGTTTGCAGTGCCCCGTTTATTGCGTGGTATTCATTTTCCCACGCTTCTTTTTGTCGTTTTTCCGCGCCGTAAGTTATGCTTTTCCGGATGTTGGCAATGACCGCGCTTTTTCGTGGGCTGTTGTATACATCCATCAAATCGGCGGCTGTGGATGTGAACAGGTTTACGCCGCCCACATCAGCGCCGGTTTTCGGATCGGGTTCCTTGGTGTGCCCGTGTTTGTTGCACGGCTTTTTTTTCGTGGTGTGTACACCGTCGGGGGTTCGCATTCGATACACCGCAAAGAATCCATGTAGCGGCTCCTTTGCGGCCGGTGTGGATAAGTATTCTTCATACTGTTCTGCGGGGTTTTGTTCCCTGATTGTCTGTATGTTAATCATTTTTTTTTTTTACTTTATACCGCATATATATGCGGTTTTTCGTCGAACAATTTGGTTTTTTTCACCAAATTTATTAGATTTTAGCACAAATAGACGAAAAATATGACCAGAACAGCTAAATACTATCGATTATAATAGTATATTTGCAAATTCGTCGTATTGCGGGTGGTTTTTTGCTTTACCACCCCAGTCATTTGTGTTATTCTCTTTATCCGATTTTGTTCCATATTAGTTTTCCCCAGCGTTGCCCCCGCAGGTTTGTCGGATTGCATTTTTACGCGGATATGTGCGGATATCGCACCACAAAGTATATACATCACCGGCGTGTAATATGCGTCCGGCCGTGTAAAAAAGTTTTTATATTTTTTGAAACGAAGTGTAAAAAAAGTTTTTAGTTGTGGGGGATCATCTCACTGTCATAGTCAGGCTCCTCAGCTGCGGGGCCTCAGTCGATAAAACGCGGGTCGTATGGGATTTGAATATCAATCTCCTTGCCGTGTGCTGCTTTTACGGCGGCTTGGTATTCGGGTTTCTCCAACTCACAACGGAGATACTGCGTGTTGATTTCAAGCATTTTTAGCCGCTCCTCTCTGGCTTTCTTCGGGTCAAATTTCCGTATTGCCTCTTGTTCCTCCTCCCGATCGCGGTTTGTGGGGTTCATGGGTCTTACACCCTTCACGAGAGGAGTCAACCCGTTTTTCCGGTCTTCATCAAGTTCTTCCCAATTGCAGATTCTCGCGTTGATTGATACATCTAACTCAATGCAAGAAAAGGAACATAACAGCCCGTGATGACGGAAAATATAGGTTCCTTTGGGGTTTAACGGCTCGTAATTGTCCGGATAGGGATTCTCCCAGTCCTCATCAAACAGTTTCTCTCCGTATACATCCTCCCATTGCAAATGTCCATACCCGTATGAAATGGGTATCTCATCCTGAATGGGTGCGCCCCCTTTCCAAGTCTGATAACGGAAATAATCATACTTGATATTGTAGAGGCGGCGGGCGCTCTTGATTAGGGTGCCGTCTTTTCCATACGCGTTTATCCTGAGTTCCTGCGTTTCTTCTGTGTCGTCACGGGTGACTTGGAGATACCCGTTTTCTACGTCAATTCTATGGTAATAATGTTCTTGGGTCATACGTTCTTCCATATCCAACAATGTAAGCGCTCGTTTGCATTTCTTCCGTAATGTAGGTGGTCGTGATGTCCGTCCGCTTTCTGATGGTTGTGATGGGCGTTTTCAACTTCCAACTTCCCCACTCTCCCCGACCCCCCGCTTAAAAAACGATTAACGGCGTTTTCGGCTAATTTCGTGTCCAATGCCATGATGTCTTTGCCTTCCTCCATTTTTTTCACGGCCTGCTCTTCTGTAAGGCGGTTTAGATTAACCTCAATCTTACCATGATTCTCACGGGCTTCAAAATACCACTTGTCATCCTTTCCTTTGGGCGATCCTAAGGCGGTATAATACTCATATACCGTTTGTATTGCCGCTTTGCCTTCGTGGGTCGCTGTTTTAACCCATTGCTTGGCAAAAACCGTGTCAAGCTCGTTTTGCACGTCTGAAACGTAATTATCCCATTTCGCCTTAACTTTCCATAACGGCTCCCGAACTGTCACCGTATTCCCTTCTGTATCCTTTATCTCCGTATTTCCCTTTTCTGTCTCCCCAACTATTCCCAATGACTTCACAAAATCATCCCATCGGATTCCAAGTTCTTGCCCGATTTTCATCACACAAGCGCTTCCGAACACGGCGATTAGCCCGTCAATAACTATCTCGGTAACTTCTGGGATTGCAAATACTGCTATTTCCGGGCCCCCCAGCTTGATGTCTTCCAATCTGTCAGCGGCAACAACAGGACAAAAAAGAGAGGTCATGATGAGAATTGACATCACGGCCGGCAATAATCTTGTTTTCGGTTTCATAATTTTTCACCTCAGTTATGCGGGGGCTGGCCCTCCTCTCCATCCCATTCGGAAAAGGGGATTGAACCCGCCGGATCATAAGTTGTGAGCTGGTCGGGTTCCTTCTTCTTCCGGCCCTGCTGCTTGTCAGGGCCTTCATCAGACGCGGGCGCGGGGTCGGTTTGTGGTTCCGGCTGGTCAGCAGGCCGATCCCTTACGGGTCGCTCGTTGTGATGAGTGATCCAGTCTGGATAGTCATCATCACATGCGCGGCCTGCGCGGGCGGTATTTTCGGGTTGCGGTTCGGAAACAAAGCTCTCGCTCTCCGGTTTTGATTTTTTGGTAATGTCTTCTGTGATTGACATATACGGAAATATTGGTAACCTGCGTATATAGTATTGCGTTCCGGCGGGATTGTCTTCTGTGATTTTCATTACCCGCCGGTTCGCACTTCCTCGGGTCGGTGGGGTGCTCGCATCCCGTCGGTTTCTGGTATTTCCTGTGGGGGCTGTGATGGGGATCGCGGCCTCCGCTCGGGATTTTTGGGCATTTTTACAGCGGAAAGATTAGGCGGCTTCGGCTGCCGCCTCTATAGTCATCATCACAAAATCAAAATCCCGCTCCTCAGCTGCGGGTATGCCGGCCTCATAGATTGCGTCCATGAGGGCACGGGTTCGCTGTGCTGGGGATCGTTTCGATGGTTGCCGTTCTGCTCGGGCTCCGGCTGCTGATTGCTGATATCAATCGAAAAAAAGAATCGACCACCACGCGGGGATTTGACGTGCATGGTCGTGTCGGCTTATTTGGGTGTGTCCTGCCGGTCTGTCTCCGGAGTTTTTGCCTGTGTTCCCCCGCGTCGTGAGTTTCATCAGATTCTTCACAACACTGGACGAATCTTTATTAACTCTCGCAACATAGTAGTTCATTACGTCGTGAGTCTTTGACCTCCGCACGGCGCCTCAGTTTCATCACACAGACATACATCACACCATTATACTTTTTTTCACAGATATCTACTGGATAGGAGCTTCATTGGCCTGTGTTTCCCCACGCATACCCTTCGGGGTGCACCCCGAAAACGATTCTCCAACGCCCAATCTACAAGAGACGCATCTGATGAAACCCATGACCGGCCAGCAGTATCCACGACTTCAGCAGTACGATGATAGTGATAGGTGTAAACGCCAATACTGACAGCATCGAGGATTAAACCAAATTCAAGAGAATAATGTTTACTTCCCCCCATTGAGCATAAAGAACTCCCTGTTGATACCTCCTTATCTGCTTTTAGAACATAGTATTCTTTGTATCGATTTCACCCGTAACGGGGTCTGGTTTTTCAGATGGTGATGATGTCCTTCCCAGAATTCAATCTCTCATTTTCTGCCTTCTTTTCCGCAGATTCCTTTCTTCTCTGTTTTTATAGTATGAGTTGCAAAAAATAGCAACAAGGCTTTTTTAAAAAAGAGTAAATCATCGAGATTTAGGCTTTTTTCCGGTTTGAGGTTTCTGGGGGTTATTTCAGTTTTCAAAACAGACCCCGTTACGGATACCCCGTTACGGGGGTAAATGAACGCAGATTCCTGATTGCAGTAATCTAAGCGGTCGGTTGGTAAGGCACACAAACGAAGATTCAGCTCTGGCCGGCTGTCTTCCGGCTGTGATGGGGTTCCGGAGGGGCCGGCCGGCGTTTTCGGTGTGTGATATACATCACATCACGGGGCGGCGGGGGATGGTTGTCAGCTCCGGCCGGTTCTCATCAGCTGGTCGGTGGTCGTCGTGGTCAAAAAAATGATGTCCGGAAAGATAGCCGCCGCTCCGAAGACAGTCTTCCGGCGGTCAAAAGAGGGTATCAGGCCTTCACGGGTCTGAGGTGAACAGTTGCCTCATGAACTGCTCATACCTCCTCAGGCCCTCGGTATTGCCCTTCGTATCATGGTTCTGGGGGGTCGTCTGCGGTTCGGTGGTGTATACATCCGCATCCTCATCCCTCAATTCCCAGCCTATGAATACGCTTCTCATCACGCGGCCGGCAATGCGGGCCTGCTTCTTACAGCACTCATAACCGGCGGCGATCTCGTTATAGAACCGGTTGACTAACAGGCTGTGCCGCGCCATGAAGTCCTCTAACTTTCCCGTGATTTCGATCCCGACTGCGCGCGCCCAATTTTGGAAGAGGAATTTGCCGGCGATCCTGCGGTTCCGGTTCCGAACCATGCGCGCCTTCATGAACGCGCTGGTTGTTATCTCCGGATCGGATTTCGCGGATTCTAACGCCGATTCTGCCCATTCACCGGCATTACGGATATTTTGCGACTTGGCATATTGAATAAGGAAAATCAAAACGGCTTCTTCGGAAACTGACTTACGACCACAAAACCACGCGTTCCGAACGTGGTCAAAAGAGTATTTGGCTTCTTTCAGGGTTCTGACCGGTTGTATTTTGGACATTGCTTTTCACCTCACAGAAAAGCGACGCCTTTATACCGATGGTCAACCAAGATTAACATGCGTGTTTGGGTTGCCGAAAGGCGACCTTTTCTTACTGTTCTTGTTGTCTTTCTCAGTAAATAACCCCTGCTGTTTTGTCGTCGTCCTCCCTATTCTCATCACGCGGTGACAACTCTTTTCTCAATTCCGCTAATTCTTCGTCTGATTCCACCTTCCGCGAAGATATGCCGTTTTTGTCCAAGACAATCAACAATCTATCATTCTTCCCCTTCCGCGCTTCTTCCGCAAATTCGGCTAATCTAAGCAGTTTTGCATCTTCCCGGATTGCGGTAATTGCTGCGGCCGCGTTCCGGGGATCGGCCTGCCCGATCGGGGCTCCTAAATATTCATCACGGGCGCGCAGCGCAATTGCCTCTAAGCTGTTGTGATATTTTCCCAAAATCTCCCAATACTCTGCGGCCTTATATTCTGCTATTTGCTTGGTAGCCGTCCGTATGGTCTTGTTTACCGTCCTGAGGTTCCGGCCAGTCTCCTCGGCAATTTCCCGCTGCGTGCGGCCCTCTACTGCCATTTCAATCATTCCGGCCGCTTCTTCGGTGGTTACGTGCCCTATGTTACCCATCTCCATTTGTTGTATTTTTGTTGCCTTTTGATGGTTATTTTTCTTTTCCGCGCCCGGGTATTCGTGCGTCCTGCAATATTGCGTATAATATGAATTATGCGCAATATTGAACAACCCGCCCGTTCTGCGCCCCGTTTCCGCAAAAGAACCACGCTTCTGGGATTGCGTATTTTGCGCAATTGCGGATATGGTGCATGGTGTGTATGTCTTGTTACGATTGCCAGCGCCCGTATGCCGATGGTGTGAACATCACGGCCGGCGGGGGTGCCAACTTTCCAAAATGAACCCCGCCGGCCCGCCGGTTTGCAAAAGTTTGCCAACCCACCGCAAAAGGCGGGTTAATGGGTTCTCTTAGAATCAGCCTGCATAATCAACATGTTTTATTTACCCCCCCCTGCGGCGGCTTGTGGACTGAACCCATCACAGCCGGATTTGCCGGCTGATTCGAAAATTACCCGCTCTGGTTGGTTGGTTTTTTCCCTAAAGTAAAACATTCGCAGGCCCCCCGCCGTTCCTCCTCGCAGATATCACGGGCGAAAAGGGGGCTGGTTTCGCAAAATACGGCAAAATCTTAACTTTCCTAACTTTCCTTAACTTTCCCAAAATTCGGGAAAGTTAAACGGCGGCAAATACGGGCTTTAAATGGAAAAATAAGGATTTATTATTATTTTTTTTAACTTTCTAACTTTCCTACTCCTCATTCTCCCCTCAGTGTGCCCCCCCCTGTGATGTGTGTGGGGTGGGGGGGAGGAGAACAGATCATGGAAAGTTGGAAAGTTAAACTCAAAAACGTATGTAGTGCCTCTGTTTTGGCATCAGAGGCAGTAAGCTCCCCTGTTAACTTTCCCAAGATTTGGGAAAGTTAGGGAAAGTTGGAAACTTCACTTCTCGGGTGCGTTCCCATAAAGATAAATCTTGCATCCTCCGTTCGGAGCTGTGTCGCCGCATTCGATGAGACTATCATTTACCATTTCATCAAACAGGTCTTTCCATTTTTCCCCGAAATGGTATGTTTTCATTGCCTTTTCAACGCTTGATTTCGTCATCCCCACGCCGTGTTTTCCGCAGCCGTGTTCTTTCAAAATCTGGATTACCCGATCTTTGGCATCAGCCCACGTATCCGGCGGGATCGCGTATACGATGCGGGTCAACGATGATTTTAGCGTAAAATCTATGAATTTTTTGGCGGTTTTTACGTGTGCGGCGGTTATTACAGGTGGGTGGTCGGTATATGACATACGGAACACATCTTTGACAGCATCGATTTTTTGAATGTAAATCTCCCGCGCCTTCTGCTGAGCTTCCAACGCCGCATCTGCGGCGGCCTTCGCGTCATTCACGGACTTCTTCGACGACTTCTTTTTTTTGGTCAATTCAGACAGTGCCCCGTTTGCTTCATTCAGGGCTTCATTTGCTTTGTCAAGAGAGTCCTTCGCGTTTTTCATTTCCATCATAGCCATCGGGTGATTAGAACGGTCGACCCGATCGTTTGCCAATGCGATCCGCATTGCATAGATCATTACGTGCTGTAATTTGCGGGTTAACAACTCCTTCGCTTCGGGGTGGGCGCGGCAATACGCTTCGGTGTCTGCATATATCTGCATCAATTCCGCACGCGCGGCTGGTTCCCAGCGCACTGGATCGGGGCGGCGGTGTATCGGTCGCGGAATGATCTCAACCTCCCCGCGTTTCGGTTTTGGGGGATTTCGTGCGTATACCGCGTGCTCTACCGCCTGTGTTTCGCCGGTATCCAGCGGAACGGCGATCCCTTCCAAACTTTGCCATGCCGCCGCCAACGAGGGCGGGATGAGCTGAGCGTATGTATCGTATTCCGGCCGGCCTGCGTGGGTTTTCGCCCATTCTAAAAACGGATTGATCATGATCATATCCTGCTCGTCGT